ATCTATTTCTAACTCGAATATCTAATTCGAACGCGTCTCTATCCATTCGCAGGGTAAAACGCGCGAGCTTCGTAGACACGGGAAAGGTAGCAAAGAGGAAGATTGGGGAACGACGGAAAATCCAAATTGCCGTACAAAGCTCTCGCGCAATCAGGTTCCCCGGTAATCCTCGCGCCTTCAAGTACTTCGGCACGATCGCGAAAGCCAATTATGTGGCTGACGTACGTACGTACAGGTGTGGCTTTAAAGCGGCTAGGCAACGAGGGGGTTAGGGAGGGAGGGGGAAAGCAAAGGTACATAGGCACGGAAAGTGCATTCCTACGGAGTGCGGAATTACTCGATTAGCGCTAATTCGAGTTACGCCGTAGCTCGTTATCAAAATCGCTGATTGTTAATTGCTACGCGCTGATCTCGCACACCGTTGCGCCATCGCGAAACGACAATTGTTGCGTCGGTGCTAAATTCTCTTAAATAAAATAAACATCGCACCACAGTCGCACAATAATTTCACGCGTAAGTCGAATTAGCGAAATTGTGCAGAATTCAGTCGCGTAATCGAAAATGTGCTACCCAGACATTTATCTCAATTCGTCCATCTCTCGCGTCATCCGGTTTTTTTTGGATATTTCATAATATTATTTCTACCAGACAGCACTTGCACACGCTACTAAAACGCAACAACTACATCTCGCGAAAAAATATCTTCGACCAGTTCACGTTCCTCTTCGATATTTCGATATGAAGAAGCAACAAGATGCATGTCCTCGACGGGATACGACCTTCTCGTTTCTCGATCTTCCGCCTTCTCGTGTGCATTTACGGTCGACTTTCGCCGCTGATAAATTGCGACCGGTGAGAGTGTGGAAATTGCATACGCCGTTGCAACGTGCGTCCCCGGTGTGCAGTAATCGCCTTAGACGTGCGCGCGACGTCGAGTAAAGGAAAGGAGAAAGCAGAAAGAATAGGATGGTGAGGCGTAGGAGAAAGTACCCGTGTTACGGTACGGATGTCCAGACCGAGAATCCTCTCAGGATGGGACTCGTTAGTCCTACCGTGACAGACTTACGGCACCCAAGACTCGTCCCACCTCGGCCACCCATCATGGCTTCGGAACGAGACGTAGCGGCAAGGCAAGGACGTTAGTTCCCTTCCGCTCAAATTACGCTAGTGGTCTTCTCGCCGAGTAGAATCAGGTCGGAGTACTCGAAAACATATTGGACTGTGTTGCGTGTCTCACCACGTGCAAGAATTTAAAATTAATAAATCATCGTGATGAACGATTAATTTAGAAGATTGGACAAAAATTGCGTCATCTAGGATCGCATTTTTCATATTAGCGAGATTAAACTCGATTCGAAAGAGCGGTTTGAAACAGGCACTTAATTCACGACAAATGTACGCTATCATTCTGACACATCGCTTATTCTATCCAGCACTACGCTTATTACTATTGTTAGCGGAAAATGCATTCTCGATAATTTTTAGCCTCTCGGCATCCGAACATTTTCTCAGTATGTCTTCGATAAAAAAGAGAATGAGTGAGTAAAAGAGAAAAAAGAGAGAAAGAGCACACACAAGATGGCTGACGGTGCACACGCATCCGGCGCGGATAACAGGGGAATCCGGAAGGCGAATTCGAGCGCGAGAAGGTGGAGCCGGTCTGCCGGTCGGAGGTTTGATTTATATGTTAATCGCCAGACAGCAGTCCCTGCCGATGTCGGCAAGTGCGCAGTCTGACGCGGCACTCTTTTACCCCTCGTAACAATCCTCGAAATATCGCGTATAAGTAGACACCAGCTATATCCTAAGGCAATATTGGGAGGTACGACAGAAAGTCCGAGCTTTAATCATCAGTCAATTTTCAAAGAAGAAGAAACTAAAAGACGTGACTTAAAACTATAATATAGATGTAATATAAATAATTTTTAAAAACAGAGCTGAGTCAAAAAGAACACTAAAGTAATACGTGTCTTTTTTTATAATTTTGGAATAGAGTATGTAAAAAGATTGACAAATGTTTTCGGAAGAAAAAATTATTATATAAAACTCCTCAACAGTCAGATGCTTGAAGCTTGAATTTCATTAACTTCCGTATTTATTATAAATCGGATTTATATAAATCGGGTAGATAAGATCGAGATGACAGATATTTGTATCGTGACCGATATCAGAGTTTGTCTCGGACAAATCACATAGATAGACGATTATCAAAATCCCCATCGATGCAGATAGATATGAAAATGATTCATTTCCCGTTCAATGGACCTATGGAATTAATAGAATTTCATTAACCGGTGTATTGAAAACCGCCATCGTCCATGTGCTCGAATTCCGAATGCTTGTTGAAATATGAAAGATAATAGAAGGGCAAGCTTTAATTGAAATTTATCTCAATCGCGAATTTTCAATTAATTAGTTATGAACCAATAATATGTGCAGAATTTCAATAACGAGAATTATCGAACATAAACGATTTTCTTGAATGCAGTTTCCTTGTTGAGTTTTCAAGTAATACTTGAAAAAAATATTTAAATAAATGTGCCAAATGAAAAGAAGCATAAAAAGATAATGTAAGAAATACGTATAATAAATATGTTTAACAAATATATACTAAAAGATAAATTTACATAAAGCATCACCAACGAAAAAAAAAAAAAAAATAAATAAATGTGACATTTAAAAAAATATACCTCGGGATACACTCGGAGTAATAAAACGCGATAAACGAAGCAAATTCCTTATCAAAATGAGTACGTTGGTTTTTATCCGCTACTTTTATGGCCTACATTTTGCTTTGACAAGAAATTATAAAACATCTCCGATGTGTCTCACATCTTTTTGTAAGGTAAAATAACTTTATCGATTCGATCAAGCATTTTCGCAAACTTTCCTGACCAGCAAATCCATACTTATATTTAAACATTGTACTATCCAGATTGCTAAAATCGCACATTACGAAATAATTAATGAAAGAAAAAATTGATGAGTAAAAGACAATCTATAATTGGATACCGATAACGATATTACCAACATGACTGATACTAAGAATATAATGCTCAAGAATAACAATAATATTGAAGAAGAGTCTCAAGCTTTTTTATGTGTCCTACTTCTCAATGACGTCGTGATATAGAAAAATTTATTCGTTTCGTTATATAGAAAAACGTATTATGAAATATTTGCATGCATAAAAGAATAAAATAAAATAAAAGTTATATAAAAAATGTCTTGTTTGAACTTTATTGTCATATTAAAAGTCATGAATATGAATATTTATCTTATCTTATAGTATTATTATGACTTTATGACGAGAATAGTTCCATTTTTATTCGTTTTCTACATGATACTTTTGTGAAAGCAAAACGCGTTGCGTTGTCACGAGATAAGAATTTTTCGATCATAAATCAGATCTGAGAATCACGACTCTAATATAAAAGCCAGTGAATTTACACAATACTTGTCTGCACACTAGCAAGATGTTACGGCGCTTCGTTTCCTGCCTCTTGCTCGTCGGAGGTTTCGGTGAGTAAAAAAGATCGATAATTCTTATTTGTTATTTATACCGTGGAACGTTTACCCTGTTGTCGTTTGCAAATTTATTTACTAAACCTTATGTCTGTAAATCAACTCGTCTAGCATGATATAAGCAATCTGACTATCTGACATTTAGATTTGCGATGAATAATAACGCGTGATAAAGTAAATCAGTACAAATTACAGCGGAGCTTCTTCAGCTATATTTTATTATCCTTAACGCGTTCTATTTTATAGAGGAAAGTTTAAAGAGCGACAGAGTTGCGCGTAATAAAGTCGACCGAATCCTCGCGTGATTTACGTATCTGGCCGCATTCTGGGGCCAACTTTTTTGCTGAAGCGACCGAAGACAAATTCTACCATGAGATTTAATATTACAGTATCCTTCCTGGTGCGACCGGCTTCCCTTCTGGACGCTCGGATCGTAGGAGGTACCGTAGCTGACATAAGGCAGCATCCTTATCAATTGAGCCTCCACGAAAGTTTATGGCATTCTTGCGGGGCCGTTATCATAAGTAACAAATGGATTCTCACCGCGGCTCATTGCATGAGGTATATGATTCTCTTATATAGGGTTTCCCAGACCAAGCGCATCATCCGTTAATAGCAGATTCATAGAGTTATTCAGAAACAAAAATCTTTATACCGCAATATCGAGGTTACAGTAACTTTTAAATGTAAAGTGTTTAAAATTGAAAAATCAGATTGTCAAAAATTTACGTGCTCAGACACTTCGTATATTGATTTTTATATTTTTACTCTATGAGAAACTTCATGAATATGCTATTAATGAGTATTATGGTTGATTTGAGACACTCTATATATCGCATTATTTGATTCCAAATCAGAAGCTAAATATTCGTAAAATTTTGCAGATAATAATCTTTGTTCTTATATCTTTGAAATGTTAATTATAACTAAATGTGTACTTATCAAACATAATCATAATGTTCATTATCAGAATCGTGTTTCTTTTCCGATAACTCCTCAGAATAAGAGTGCAATAAATTTGTAATAAGAGTAAAAAACAAAGCTGTAAATTTTATTTTAATCTCTCGTAATGTAATTTATCGGTATTTTTAAATTTTTATAGACCCTAGCTAGCGTCCAATGCATTTACAAATATATACGATATTTCTCGATGAACTTTATATAAGGCATGTAATATAATAAAAATTTAATAAACAAAACTCGCAAAAATCATATGAAAAAGCTTATAAACTCTTCAATTAAAGATGCACAATTAAGGATAATTAATAAATTAATTTTAATCATAAATTGAATAGTATAATTTATGATTATCTGCAAATAAGCGCTTTAAGTTCGATGCGTCTCGATGCAATTGATGCGTTGTGGCAATACGAGCTAGAAAATTGTAGGCACGTTTGCGCGATCATCCGCAACATTATTGCGGTCGCGCATCTGCCCGTAAACGTTCTGCCGATATTGTCACAGCGCGGCTCGCGTAGCATGTTGTTATCACTACAGTATTTTCATATATCGGTACGCGTGCGCGTCCCGTTTCGTTGTAGGACCAGTCAGCCTTACTTTTACAGTGTTAACGCAGGAAGTAATAGCACACACACGGGTGTCCATTATCAAGTTAAAAAGATCGTTCGACATCCCAACAACAATTATCTGACGAATGATTACGATATTGCTCTTCTCGAGGTACGTAGTATGAGTACTGAACTTTCTCTGTCTTTCGCCATCTCTCTCTTTCTCTCCTCGCTAACGGTCTGCGCCAGCTGACAATAACAACATCGGTAGCTCTCGCACGCTCTAGAAATTTCATTTCAGGTCGACGAAATCAGATTTAACGATAGGGTGCAACCAGTGAAGCTGGCGGAAAAGGAGCTCGCGGATGGCGTTATGGTGAACGTTACCGGATGGGGCGCGTTGAAGGTGAGTTCACACGAGGAGTAGACTCATTATCTGAACGTTGTGGAAAACAGGTGCGGCTAAATAACAGCGAAATTTCCCGGCTGATTCGAAAATTTCGCGAGTACGGTATCCCATGCCGGAAATCGAGCCGCGCTTCGATCGCTGCATGTTGCAGTATACGATCGAAAAATCGATACTCTCCACATCTCGTTTGCAACATCGTATCAGAAGTATTATATTACAGCTACATTGTTAAATTACTTCGACCCCGAGTTTCCTTTTCCAATCCACCGCTTAACTAAAGCGGCACTTTTGTTTGCAGCGTATCTCCTATCAATTCCACGATATCGATATCTTATAATTGACGCGTCTTCAACGCGTCTTCGCGATCGCGGTGTCTGATATGCTAAGTGACAACTATCGTATGCTATATGCCTTACATAATGACACGACCATCTTGATAATACTAATAGATCCAATTAGTCTAATCAAATCTGATTGGTTTAATAAGCTTATATATAAGCTTATATATATAAGCTTATAAGCTGATAATTTGAATAGGATTGCCAAGATGATAATTACACATGTCAAGTTCGATTAGTTCAAATTGTGAAAGCTGCACAGCAAAAAGTATGATTGTGGCCGCGAGCAAATTTCCATTTTTTTCCGAATTCCAGCAAGGGGGAGACATATCACCCGTGTTAATGGGAGTGTCGCTTCCAATTGTGGACAGAGCAACGTGTCAAAAAAGATACCACAAAAGTCGCAGAATCATCACCGACAGGATGATTTGCGCTGGCTATACACAAGGCGAAAAGGATTCGTGCCAAGGTGATTCGGGCGGGCCACTCGTCGCCAATGGCACCCTTTACGGAATTGTGAGCTGGGGATACGGGTGTGCTAAACCGACTTATCCTGGTGTTTACACCAACGTCGCAAACCTTCGCTCGTGGATAAAAGGGATCAGCGGTGTTTAATATTTGACAATTGCGTGTCCATTGTTACTGAAATTTTAATTTGCAGACGTGACAAATTTAATTTTGATACTCGATGAAAAACACAAATTGCATTTGCATGACACAGTTGTAAGATTTCGAGAACAATACGTTTCACATTATTTTTTAATGTTATTTCAAAAGTAGGTCGCCAAATAATCACAACAAGCTATCACATAGCTCTGGCCATTAAAAAATAGTGTAAGCAATATGTGTTATAAAATGCTGTTAAAAAATAAATAAATTGGAAAAATTTTAGCAACTAAATATTAAATAATAATATGAGTTTCAATGTTGTTATAAATATAATCCCCACGTAACTCAGCAAACTTAAATAGTTTAATAAATAAACAAGCTATTAAGATAAGATAGTACTAAGAATTATATGAAATATATTTGACGTAGATGAATTAGATTCTCGTCTCTGCAGGAGATAAGAGGAGTTCAATTAGCTATGATTATCTTGACACGATTGCACTATTATCGAGATCGATTGATAGGATATCATGTACAGATCGCATGATTGTATGTACCATATAGTTCGGCACAAATATATCATCTCAAATTAAATTAAGTGTGTCAATAAATCTCAAATTAATTGCGCGGCTGTCTTTCAAATTCTTACGATAACGCTTATTTCAGATACTGATAACACAATATTGTAAGTTTATCTTCGTCGGAAAAAAATAGGTTTTTTATTCACGAACCGCCAGACAATCTGCTCACACGAAAGTCATCAGTTGTTGTCCATCGATGTGAAAAAATGTCGAAAAAATTTATTCTATTCTTCTGCGTCCTCCTGGCATACAGTGAATCAAACTAACTACATTTTCACATCCGCGATTTTTAGACCAAATTGTTTTGCATAAATTGTGATTATAGCCGTTAATACTGAAAGGCACCAATATGTGGACATCGAGGATTATCCATACCACGTGAGAGAAAAAAATTTATTTCTTCTTTTTTTATACGCGACGGCTTACAGTATCGTGCATTCCGGCGGCAAATAAAACTATATGCCATTCACATGTGGTTTTAATCGGTAGTCAGTACAGCAGGGTGACTGTAAGCCGCTATTATTTTCGAGTAAATCGGATTTTAGATAGAATTCGTTATTCGAATATAGGTATCGATCCAGATTGCCGGTCGACACATTTGCAGCGGCGCATTCATACACGAATCGTGGATTATGACTGCGGCATCCTGCGTTTTCCAGTACGTAGCATTGCGAAAAATACATAATAACATACAAAGCCATCATACATGTCCCGGAAATTATTATTTTATTTCATTCAAAAATATTCATAAATTTAAAAAGTCGACTTTTTCTCAACAATAATCAATTAATTAATTATCTTTCATTTTATTATATACCTTTGCAATTATAAATCTTAAGTTTTAATATTCTATAAATTAATATTTTACTCTAATGTTTCTTACAGTCTGAAATTATCTACGGTGACTGTACGTGTCCGCTCCGCCAATTTTTCCACTGGTGATGTGTTAGAAATAAGTAATATCGTGATGCATGAAAATTTCGACAAGTATGTACATTTCAACGATATAGCGTTGATAAAGGTACGTACATTTTTGTGTTCGCTAAACAAACATCCTACTTGTGTGTCTTACTGATTTATCATGTGTGTAAACTTATTCCATTTGTCAAATCGTTAGCTAAAGACTCCTGCAGAGTTCGGAGAAAAGTTACTTCCTATTGGACTTCCAAAGGAAGACGAAGAAATTCAACCTGAAACGCGCTGTAACGTGACTAGCTGGAAGCAAACTCCGGTAAATATCGAGCAACACGCGCAGTTTCGGTTTATTTCCAAATTTTTACAATCGAACAATCGTTTGCTCGAGAAAAGCGCCGTTTTATCGCCCGACGAAATGTCCAGGTGTTACGGCACCTGGAGAACGCATAACTCACCGGTCGTACCGCCGCGCTTCTCTTCGCGGTGGCGTCAGGAACGAGATTTTTACAGCGAACGCGGTACTCGGATATGCAAACTTTCCACAACTTCCCGCCGCAGCAGCGGTGGTTGGCGCCCGCGCGCGACGTTATTCAAAGTCACGTCGGTACCAAAGTAAATCGTTACGAAACACCGTCGCAAAACGTTCGCGAGCAACCCCCGATCCGCCCCGGCGGGGTTACAATAACGAGAAACGTGTCGTAAAAACGTGCGAGCCGTGCCAAATTTCCAGGGGACCGAACCGACCGGGGCTCAGCTCGCGGCGGCCGCTGTGGAGATCATAAATCAACGTACGTGCGAGACGAAGATGCCGAGTTACAAGCCGCTGTCTAAGGAGATGCTGTGCGCAGCTAATGTGACCCACCCGTCGGAAACGTGTCAGGTAAGATTAACATAAGACGACGGTAAAACAAGACAACACAACGAGGTTGGAGAACGCGGTGATCCGTGAAGGGATCGTGTGTGTGTATACGCGCGCTCGCGAAACCCGCGACAATCGAGGGCGACACTCGAGAGAGAGCGAACTCGACGAGCGTCGACGACGCCGAGGAGAGGCACCTCGACCTCGTCGCGGCGCGTCACGACACTTGGCACGCGTACCGAGTCTATATACATCATCTACGTGCCGTCGTGCCGGGTACGCGTTTCCCGAGTGTCAGGCGCAATGAGTCTGGTAAAGTATCACGCGAGATGCCGGAATTATTGAAAAATGTTCTCTTTCAATCAGAAATAAAAGTATAAAAGTTACTGACGGTTCGTCCACGGAGACGATGTTCTCGAGTAAAATTAGTCGAGGGTATCGAGGTAATTTCGAGTATCGGTATACGAAACCACATAATTCAAGCTGCATAATGATCTCGCGAGAAGCAATTGTCGATGGAAAATACGAGGCGCGTAAATTAAGAGCAGTCAGCAGTAGTCGAATTCCAATTGTACATGGCCACGAGTGTACAATTACGTCGATGGAGTCAATAGTCTTTCCGCGAGTACATGCACGGCTGGTTCAGGTGTCGGATGCACCAGATCGGCGAACAATACGGCACTTGACTCGAGAACGCAATTTCCACGCGGCGCCGAAACATCGCGAGCGAGATGCGAAGAGACTCGCGCACGCTAGAAAAATTCCCGTTATTTCGCAACGTGACTATACGCGACAGTGAACAAAGACCATAACAGAACTGGAACAGGAGAGAGCCTCTTCATGTATGGATACGATATATTTACCTACCAAATCATATCAATAAATTTATGTAATAATAAACTGAGATTTAATAAACATTTTGTAAAGAATCATAGATAATTCTCGAAACTTTTTATTGTAAGTTATCGTTGTAAAAATTGTAAAACGGAAAAAATGTGCCGGGAAATACGAAGTATTGTGTTTCGAAACAAAGAACTTTAACAAATGAGAAATCGATATTTCACGTCCGAAACTTCTGCTGTAATCCGTCGAGATTTCGGTTCTTAATAATTAACGCGAGCAAAGCTTGCAGTGATTAAAATCATCGTGATATTATTGTCTGCAGAATGATCTAGGAGCGCCTCTAGTATCGGAGCAGACGCTGATTGGCATTCTATCCTACGGATTAGGATGCAAAATCCTGATAGTTCCGGGAGTTTATACTCGTATCAGCAGCTACTTGCAATGGATCTTTGTAAACACCGGTATCCACTACAAATGAAACGACACACGCGATTATCACACTCAATCCTAATTAATTATGTGTAAATTATAATATTGTGCTATAATAAACAGAACTCTACAAATTGCCATAAATACATGGTAACGTTAAAGTATGCAAAATTTCCGATAGCTTCTGATATAATGCGATTTTTCTCGATAAAAGCAGTAGCGGTGTTAGCGAAAGAGACGTTTGTCAGGTAATTTTTCGTTCCCTGAAGTATAAATCATAAATGCCGAATGGATAAACAGGTATGCAAGCGAGGAAAAGCTTCTCCCCTGTTTTTCTTTCTATCGTCTAGTTTTTGTTAGCGAGCTGGCTTTGAGACGGTGGAGCAAATAAAAGAAAAAAAAAAAGAGCAAATGTTGCGCGGGGATCCGTTCGTGAAAAAATATTAATCTCCGCACACAGATGAAAAGTATTACTCGTCGCAGTACTTTTATTCTTATACCGTTACGCAGGCAGTTTTAAATATCGAGCAGTCGCGATCGAAAATTGGCGAGCTTTCCGGCGGCGATATTTTTCTCCACGCGGGATAACGGAAGGAACGGATAATATATTGCGACGACTCCTATCGATTTTTGCGCTTGCATATAACGTGCACTGTAAAGGACTCGGCTGCAGCCGTGTCTCTCGAGAGTATCCTCCTATCGCCGCGATTCTGCCACGAAAAAGAACCGATTAGAATTATTGCGCAACACGCATGAAGAATCGCTTTGCATCTTGCACACGTGTTTGTCCTCGGCGTAATAGCGCCGACGAATTCTCAAAACATTATTTTTATAGGACAATCATTAGTGCAATACAATCATTTTATAGCAATATCTCGCGAATTTCGTTGCACTCATTTAATCATTTAATACTTAATTAAATACATACAAAAATCAAAGTGTTGATAAGTTAAAATTTTTTAATCTTTTAGTTACAAAAAAGTAAAAATATTTAGGTAAATTTTCGCGTAAATTGTAATATAAACAGTTTATTGTTTATTTATTAGAGAATAACCATTTATATGTGTGTATTTATTACAAATAATTTAATGTCATAAATATTTGCTTCTATAGAAATTATTGTTTTCCATTTTAATCATATTTGATAAAAGAGTGCCATAACGCAGCCTGCATTTTTATCCTGGCTATAAAATTATCGCGTAATAAATCTCAGCGATTTTTTTTCATAAATATCGCGCAGAGATAAATTAAAAATATGCGTATTTAATTCTTTAATGGCCGTTAAAAGGATTTCAAACGCCCACTAGTTAATTCCGCACAATCGAACTCTCAGCGGGACGGAAATAAACTGCAGGTATGAATTTGTATAAACTTTTAATCTCTCCCATTAATTGTGGCGTGCGACAAAATATCGATGGTTAATTAACGAACAACCGCGGCGGCGTGTCGGAAGTTTCGGTTTCAAAACATGAATTAAGCCACAGTCCAAATCGGAAGTACAGGACATTCGTCGTTGGCGCTTAAATTAAATGGCATGCACGAGGTACTGTATTCATGGACTTTATCAACGAGCGAGTACGCACGCAGCAGGTCGAAATAATTGATTGCTAGTCCGTTGCTGCTACGTTAAATCTTTATGAATATGCATCAAGTATTGACGAAACCACGTAATGTTTGAGTTCCAGTCGTCTATTTGCATTCGAACGGCTACTTTCTGCATCGTCCTCGGGGACAGACGCATATATGTATACCGCGCGATGCAATGTCACGAGAATGCAAAACCAATGTTCTATTTTAATTCAATTTTCAACTACAATAATAAAACTTCAACTCTGGACGGGGATATTGTAAACGATATGTGACACTTTACAGACAACAGTATTTGTGAACATTATTTTGTAAACATAAAAGAAAACTAAATATAAATATAAATAAGGAAAAAAAACTATGATAGGTGGCCGTTTAGACAGGCTACATTATACTGTTGCGTTGGATGGCGGACGGATCTGAGAACGACACATTGACCGGATCCGCAAGACTGGAGAACAAAAGGATCACTTAACGAGATCGCACGCGGAGGATCTGGACGCAAACATAGATCTAACGGCCCAATCATTTGCGGAAGAAGGGGAGCAGGAAATACCACAACCTCCAGGTGAGGAAGTGAGAACGCCGAAACCAGTGCAGCAAAGAGAATTAAGTTCGAATCAGGAAGCCACTGTCTAAATACCCGAATTTGCAATTCGCCATAGCGAATAAGTAGTATTTCTTTTACGAGGGGGAAAGTTATATATTTACATATGTACACATATTAGGCGTAGATTTTGTATGCCACGGTTGAGTGGCCATATCGCATTCCATCAACCTACTATCGCGAGCGTACACAGCGCTGTGGCCGCCGACTACGCGAGACGCTGTATGGATTGACGGCGAGTGAGTCATAGAACAAACGCTTACGATAACGATACATGTGTACTCGCAAGGTATTGGAATAAGAGATTAGCAGACACGTGGATCTGTTTTCTTTTCATCAGTTTCCTACTCAACACCTACACTATTAATAGTTTATACATAGATACGACCAACAATTGTTGCGAAATACTAATCCAAATATTGGCTATTTACAGAACAATGATCTGCAGGATGAAGATTGTATTGTTGGACCAAGTTGATCAGCGATGAACACCTGTATCAAGTAAGTGTACTGAATAGACGATGAATCGATGAATAGACGATGAATCGATGAATCAGTTTAAGACAATGGCAGAGAATGGAAAAGAGGTTTACGCTAATAGAAGATATACGCTTCTATTATTGATATTAGCAAAATTGTAATCAGTCGGATTTTCGATAGATAAACCCAAAAGTTATTCGATGTGAAAATTCAATCAATTGTTTTTTTCGTGCGCAAGCACAAACAACTGTTATATCCGAATAATTAATGAACAGCTTTGATTAAAAGATTTCTTTTAGAATTATTATTTTAGACGGTGTCTTTTCGAGAGACACGTTGCACTGTTTTTATCGCGAAATTGTGTATTTCTTCTATATATTTGCAAAATGCTGTCGCGTCTGCTAATTACAGAAAATCAGATTAGTTTGGCTAATTTGTCTATCACACACACGTAAAACCAGATTCGTCTGATTCCGATAATTCCATTTGAGCTAAAGTTCTTTCATTATTATCACTTGATTAAGTAATGAACAGCAACATTAAATTCGAAGTTCTTACTCGTTAATTTCATTGGATACAAAATTTAACCGATTACTATCGTCAATTATTTCAGATTTCTTGGAAGACTTCATAAAATATTCTGTAATTAAAATTAATGCCTGAAGTATTAAAATAATTCGTGCAATATGATCGTATTGTAACATAGTTTGTAGGAGACATTTATGAGATCGTGTATGTGACGAATTGAGCGCGATATTATATCGAGAAAAACCGACAACACTTGTATGCAGACAGCCAGAGAATAAACATCTTTCTCTCTCTCTTTCTCTCTTGAGAACAATGTGTTATACTGGCGAATTTATATGAATTTAACTTTGGCATAAAACAAGAACTAGGACAGATCTTAATGATGTGATGAGATCGTTAAAACCATAAAGTATGTCTGATTATTATACTTAATTATTTTTGCGATGGCGAATATAAGATACATAAGGCTGTCGGAAAATCGGGATAATATAATATTTCGCTCTAATGAGAAAACAAATAATTGTCAATCATTAAAAAATAATAAGTGTTCATTAAAAAAATCGAGATTAATAAAAAATATATATTATCGATTTTACCATTAGAAATACGTTAGTGTCCCACTTATCCATTAACATCAATTATCTTGAAGGACAGCATTGAATTTTACACAATCCATTTCTTCACTGATTTTCTCATCTATCATATACAAAAATATTGTAAAGCGTTTATGTAAGATTTATTTATGAGAATGTGCAAACTTTACAATTAGAAATAGAAGCACGAACCGTATGCGCACTGTAGAAAATTCGTGGATGAAATATTTGTAAAATGCGCGCTTTATTTTTTTATTCCAATACCCAGATTAATTGACGTTGCTATCAATTTTTCCAAGCGCGGGAGAAATTTCCGATTGCCCAGCTTTCGAGAATTCGATCTAAATTCCGCTTGTTTATCATCGTCATCCGTTCAAACGAACCGTTCTAAAACAAAATACCGAAGACGAACATTGAAACGCTCACCGGGCTTTATTGTACGTCCACGAGACGATCCGGAACAAGCCGGTCGGAAGAAAATTAAACGGCTTCACGGAAAAGTAATTAAGTTACGTAACCATTATGAAGAACGTTCAAGTCGGAGGACGATATTCTTTCCGGAGAGCCAACTCTTTTCGAACGAGAAACCGGGGATTCAAAGTAAACACAAAGCCATGAAGAAGAAATCGTGATGCGCGTAAGCTTGCGTCGGTAAACTTCCCAGACTTGGGGTACGGCGCCTGAGGGTTAGCAACGCTTCGCAGCACGTATAATTCATCGTTATCAGAAATTCCGGATATATCCGCGCCCGCGCGCGCGCGCGTACAACGCAGACAGACCGGGCCGCTGCCACACAACAAGGACTGATATCCGAGAGAATATCGATCGCTTACCGGTTATAATGCGCGCTGCATTAGTATGCCAGATCTGCCGTGACTCTTAACGACCAGAACCGAATAGCGCGAACGCGGTGCTTGGCGTACGCGGCTTCGGCGTGACGTTCTTTACGAGCGACGAAGGCGACGATCATCTGACGGCACGTACAATAGCAATGCTCTTTATAGCGGAAGGTGGATACGTAGAGCGAGCATCGACTACTCGTGCCGCCCTTTATGAGTCAGCCACCTGTGCGAGGCTGCAAAACCGTTTATTCAATGCCACTACCGCGGCGGTGGCGAAACCCGGAGCACCAGCTCCGAGTCGACGCTGAAATTAATAATCCCGCGTGACGAACGATTACGTCGGGGCGAGTGTAAAGGGCAGCAAGATAATATTTATTGCATTGCGCAAAATTACACGTCGCCACCTTAAAACTGATTACACTCGCTTCCGCAGTAGCGATGCAATTCGCGAAAACACTTGGCGATTACGCATGCACGATTGTAAACGGTTCCGCCACATTTGCGCAAATTTCAGTGAGTACCACGCTTGAAAAGATTATTCAAAAAAAAAAAAATAATAATAATAAAATAATAATAAATTTAAAAAAATAAAAAATCTAAAAAATCTTATAATTGTGTGGGCTTTCCTTCACTATAAGAAATAAGTTTCCAGTAAAAGACGAGCATTGAAACATTATATTTATTCATGTTTCAAGTTCATTCATTTTCCTTGGAATCGCCAGTTGTTAAGATATCTAAAGTTTGATATTCATCGTCAATATACTTCAGTGATAAAGCAGAATGCATTGCGTAACGTTGTGAGAAAATTTATTACTGTTGTAAGGCTCATTACGTGAGTCTTAAATTTGTATCTGAAGAGAATAAATATATTCGTAATGTATTGTTAAGAAATAATCTAGTTTTAAATAAGATTTAAAATTGATGTTATTTTATCAATTAAAATTTCTCTCGATGGTAATAGATATACGAAAATAATGCTTATTCAGGGAAATAGGAATGCAAACTCATTGAAATTTTACCGCTTCCTGTTTCAAAATTACATCATTAATACTGCAAACAATTTTCCTCTCATTTTTAGATACACTTTCCTATTATACAGCTCATAGATAGTATCTTTTTCATAATACTGTCTGGTTTTGATGCGGTTAAACAAAAGAAAATATTTTTTCAACGGTACGCCGCCTCTCTCCTATCTCGGAGAACAGTGCAGAAGAGAGGGGAAAAATTAATTCTGCTACACGTTCGCCCGCTTGGTTATCCAACTCCGTATGGCGGATACTCGCGTGTACACTCCAGGATATCCAACACTCGCACACTGAGCACCCCAGGACACGATCCCAATTTGGACACCGTTGTACACGAGCGGACCGCCGGAGTCTCCCTGCGTTATGCGAACAAATAAACCTTCTTCACTTCCATACGACAAAAATCGATTTCCAAAAATTAACGAATCAAAGGTAAAACGAAATTATTTCAACGTGACAAATAAAAGCACTAATAATTGTGATCTTTCGAAGTAAATTGTGTCAAAATTAAGCCCCTCTGACGTTATTAAAAAACTTGACAAAATATTAAGACTTTTAAGACTCGAATTATTAAAAGAAATTTGATATTTTTCGTATTACTTATAATATAAAATATTTCAAGATGACATGAGCAATTAAAACAGTAGAATATCTCGATCACAACATATAAAGTAATCTATTGTGCTGCATATGAAAAAATATAGGAAGAGTTCAATATACAATATTTCGTTTCACGGAGCAACAGAAAGTATAAAAAGAATGTCTAATCAAAAGATTACAAATAGGACTCCACAGGGACTGCCGACGAAAAGAAAACATCGATCGCACATGAAGCGTACCTGACATGTGTCTTTCCCACCAGTGGTGTAACCGGCGCACAGCATATCCGATGTCACTATTCTATGATGAGCGTAGATCTCTTGACAGACTTTCTGATCAATGGTCGGTGCCGTCAAGACTCGCAATACTTTCGAGCTCGCACCGTTCGTCTGAAATTCGTAGCACGCCTATGTATAATGTAAGCCCGCCGAACGTTTGCAGACGTTCGCTCGCCTATCCAAAATCCCGTCAACATCAGTTACCGATGGTCAACCGTACTATGTGAAGCGAGCGGTAAACAAACCTTAACGTTTACTGGCAGCTAATCAGTCTCGTTAAACGTCACCGCGGACTAAAGCATCCTGACGGCGATAAACGTCGACGTTGACATGAGCGTATGGAACGTTTGGAAACGCGAAAACCGAAACAACCTATGAAACGGAGAGAAGGGAACTTACCGAAGTTTTACCCCATCCCGCGACAATCGCCTTGCTACCGGTCTTAATGTTTGTTGATGGTGTCGCAAGAGCGACAATTTTTGCGTTTTTACCCAATGATACAGGATTTGTCAACTAAAAATAATTTTTTTTCTGTTTTAAGAGTAGGTATTTCATACAATGAAAACATGTTGTGCGAAATCGGCTACATACTTTGATCAAAGCAACATCGTACATATAAGTATCTTCATCGTACCATTCATGAGCAATAATGGAGGCAATACTTGTAATCAGAGTGCCTCCTTCATCATGATAACTGCTTGCGACTCGGATTTTAAAAAGTGCTACTTTTCCACTAAAACAGCAGTAATATTTCTAATCAACTGAATTCCTGCGAACACAATGCTATCTAATTTGAGTTAAGAGATCGCGGATCTATCAAGAGCAGATAACGTTACCCATAAACGCAATGTGCCGCTGTCAAGATCCAGTCCTTGCTAATTATCGAACCTCCACATAAGAGCTTACCGTCATAATGAATAGAAACCTGTTAAAAATGATTTTTATAATTTAAACAATTTTGTAAAATAATAAAAATTGTGCGAATATCAAAACTGAATTGTAAGCGAACCCACGCAGTTGCTTGAATATTCAATTATACAATAGTCACAAACAGGTATTTCGACCGTAAACTGACCTGATATGGATGCTTATCGATAGTTGTAGCTGTACCTCCGATTATTCTAGGTTGTAAACAGGAGGCAGAAACTATCAACGCCAGACAGAGTATAATCAGCATGGCTACGGTTGTAGGCAACTTAGTTACTGACATGTTTACTCGGCAATGGTCTTCACGATAAATCACGATAAGACGAGTGGTATGATATGATATCGATATCAGAAATCATAACATATATATTTCTGAGTGCGAATAATTATTGACATACTATCACAAGTGCGAATTAAAAATGCATAAGACACTTTTAGATGTATAAAATTGAATAAGCAGTGAGGTGCATTTTAAATACATTTCAGTATTAATAGAATTTATTTTTTTAATTATATTTCTGAATGAGTTCAAATAGATCACGCTCAAAGCATTCACTAAAATTCATCAAGTTATGCTTTAAAACTTTTAACGTTATATCAAAATGTGTAGCAATCAAATTTTTTTCTTACGAAATACAATTTCAATTACATAATTATGAAATAAAGAATGGTTTAACTTTTCCTATCATTTTACATTACACGATATTTCTGTATAAAATAAAAATACATTTATAGCCATGTATGCGATTAAAAAAAAAAAAGTTTTTAACTCTGCATGAGATTAATGTTTATCAAGTTTGGGAAAAACAACGAAATGTGTGCATGCGTGATTAAAAATTGAAAAGGTATAGTAAAGAATATACAGACGAGTGCATGTATATAGTGTGTTCTGAGCGTTCGGGAAGTACAGTGTGTTTAGAGTATTTCGAGAGAGAACAGTGCTTCGAGCATCAAAGTCAGAGTCAGAGTAAGAGTCTCTTTCAAAACGTGAGTGACAAAGTTTCGAGAGCTGTAAGAGCGTATATACCGGAAGTTTGAATCTTTCGTGTATTTCTAGTTTTCGAATTTTTCTACATACTGTTAATAAATTGTTATTCTCGTTACTCCTGACTATAGTTGTTTATCCCACAATAATAATCTAAAATTTATAAAATCAAATGTTTTCACTGATAAAATTTTGCTATATTTAGAGTGAAAAATGACAACGCAGTACATATATTATTAGAGAAGATTCAAAGCTAAAACGGCGTAAAGTCGCTGGGACTAATATAACTGCATACTATTAGGGCAAGTTAATTATTTGCGATCGCGTCCAATCGCGTTCATTGCGAAACAACAATCTCACTTACGGAAATGTTGCTCGGCGAATCTGAGTGGGTGCTGCCCCCGTGTACGCAAACTTCCTCTCGGGTTAACTCGTTGTAATCTGTTCGAAATTTCCAACTCCTGATACTTACTTAGTTTCCACCACATACAACAATTTAACACGTACGTGATGCTGCATGCTGACGCACACAAACAATATGAAATATTCTACTATCATGCTTCTTGAAGTTATATTTGTGTCCTTTAGCATAAGTCTGGCAGATCTACTTAGTAAACGTCAACTTTGGGAAGGCAAATAGATAACAAAATCTTACGTTTCAAGATATATATAAGTGAGCTTTAATAACTTTAATGAGATAAATTTTAATTTGTAAAGTCAAAAAGATATTTAATGTTAAAAATTAAAATATTACAAATAATGGCACATTTTAATGTTTCTGCAGAAGAGAGTTATTAAAAATCTGTTATTAAAATTAAATTCGTATTTTTGAATTACGCTTGTTGAATTATTGATGTAACTTACGATAAATTGCGTAAAACGGTATGCACGCCGTATTATTCTCAAAACGCATTTTTAATCAATGCACATAATGTGACTCACTATGATCAGTCACGAACATGTGATTGTAATATCGATAATCTACTATTATTTACCGCCGAAATTATGAAGCGGAAAATAACATTTATCCAAATTTATGGCCATCGTGTGAGATAACTCGATGTACATTTTGCAAATATTCCATCAACGAACGTATATTCGCATAATGTTCTCTTGTTTCAAAAACAGAAAGTAAAGCAAGAAAAATTAAGAGTTAAAATGTGCTTCTACTGTATCATCCGGTTTAATCAGAATATTCCTGAATTTTCTGTTTTTGCACTAATTAATTTCACACCGGTAAAACGTAATATCACATTCTACAAGCAGATTGTATGAAAAAATATATGCGAAATATAGAATTAATTCTCAATTTCGACAAAATTATATTGTTCATCCGTGACTTGAATATTTTGCTTTCTAAAAGTATTAGAATTATTTAGGCTCGAATAAAGAAAGAATGTAAAAAAAATTATCTAATTATTTGCGACATTTACTGCAACGCGATATCATTCGTGCACATTCGAGGCATACATAATTTTGTCTGTAATTATGATTGCTGTGCCCTTTTATGTTTTAATTTTCATTTTGCGACGAAACATGGCGTTGAACTATGTGACATGATATTTACGTTTTTACTTTGATCTCATATTCTCGACACTGACTCATTAGCAACATTATACGATCCGCAATAAATGTAATTTTACTGAAATAAAAACATTCCCCAATGAAGTTAACATTGCTTTTCTTCTTTGCTGCACTCAAACAAATAATAGTATCAAAATATAAACGTATATTTAATCATATGTTTAACTAAAACACAAGAAACAAAACATCATCAAACGAGTATCGGATATAACGTACATTATATCAGTTAGCGTATGATAAATGTTACGTCACATTTTATAATAAAGTGTAGAAACGACACTAATTGAATTTTGCGCTTGAGAATAAATACCAAATTTCGACATTAAAATGCTAATTATGATTTCGTATACACACAATAGTTATAGACTAAATATTATCCTTTTATTACCGAACAGTGTTTCTATTTATAGTTTATTGCACATATTTTCATATATAATTTATATGATAATCAAAAAAGCAATCTTTTCTGATATATATAATATATATAATATTATTTTAAATTACTTTTAAAAAGTAATTGACCGACGAAACGTATTTCATAGAATAAAATTGAAAAAAATGTTTTCAAATCTCATCTTAATAATAATATTTGTAAATTGTATTTAAAAAATGTAGTTGACTTCTATATAAATGTATTTCATAAAATAAATCAATAACAAATATTTCCAAATGTCATTTAAAATCATTTTACATCATTTTTATATATTTTGTAAAAATCTAATATTTCCCAGAAACTTTGAAAGATATGAGTATTTGAAAATTTATATATATATTATATTCTAAGTGCCTGACTGCTATTTCATTCGATTGTTGGGCAGATTATCGGGAAAGAATCGCTTTGTGGCCAACGCGAACTCCAGATTCGCCCGAGTCCAGGATTATTGGAAAAAGAAATGTAAGTATCGAGAAATATCCATTTACAGTATGTATTACGTGCGCTTGATCTGTACAGACGATTTAGCATTTAGAAAATTCTTGCGTTCTCTCTCTCTTTTTTTGCACGTTTTTTGATCACAAAATCGAGTATTGCCACAAAAATGATATCGTTAAACAATATAGTAATAATAATATCAGCACCATGTATATTTGCAGATTTTCTTAATTTTAATTTATAATTTAGACAGAACCTATTTAGATTATTCGCATTATAAAGATTCATATCATAATGAAAATTCAAGTACAAGCGGACATAAAACAATGTTATAAAAATGTCACATATCATCATGTTTGTGATGCGAAAAACATGATAAAAATGTCAATTTCTTCGCAATATATCTATGAAAAGGAGGTCGACTCGGTGTCCGAATAAAATTTAAGGAGATATCACCGTCACTCCGTCATTGACGTCACGTCAGATGAAAATGTTTTAATTCCGTTTCCCCCGACATTTCGGTCGGTGCAATGAACCGACACGCGGCGAACGACCGTTCCGATGATCCTATAAAGCCGCAGACTACATCCAATAACTTTTCTGACAGTCGCCCACGGCTACCTGACTATTTCGTCCCCTTCGGCCGTCACGTAGGCTTGAAGAAATAATATCGAGCGGAATAAACGTATCTCCGTTTACGTATGTATGTGTGTATGCGTGTTACCGGAAACAATATTTACGGCAGCAAATAAAGTGCCAAGAATAATACAAATACAGACCGTATCTTCCTATTTTCGAGTCAGAGTATTTTCTCGTTGTGTCTATATTAAAGTCAGATCGATAAATCAAAGCTTCAAAGAAGTTCAGAGAAATAGATAAATTAAAAATCAATTAAAAACTTTCATTTAAGCTGCATTGTTGAAATACTAAAATTTTGTTATCTCGAGATCTCACAATTTTTTAATAGAAAAACTTTAGTGCGCGGAATAAAGTGGCAAATTTGTGGCCATCCTATATTACTTTCGACATAAAGAATCATTGAGAATGCAATAAATGTGGCGGATCGAATGGTGCGATCGTGTTAACGCCGCGAGCACGTATTCAGGCTATCATAAAGACGCGTTGTTTTATTCACCACCGGAGAACGCTTCGCGGCAGAGAGAAGATCGTGCCGAGTAATTGTAAGCAACATAAATATTTCTCTTCCGGTGAAACAACAACTCCCGTGGCGGTACGCGTTTACGTTTCATGCGACAGTTTCCTATCGAAGTATTATCATCGAATTGTCACGATATTTACGAGAATGATTTGAAAAGTTCGCGGACTAACATATAGATAGTAGTGATATATCTAATATTTTTGCATTGTAAAACGACATCTAGTTTATAAATAACGATTATAAAAATCGAATTTCATTGATCTGTCAAACAGTTTAAAATAAACTGTTGTTTAAAATAAGCCATCTCGATGTATCTTCTGAAATGGATAAAATTGAAAATCGTACTGTAATTAAGTTTTTTATTAAAAAAAGACTTAACGCCAATAGAAATTTTTACGTATAAAGTGCACCGGAAAAAAGTTGCATCGTATACAACTGTAAAGAGATGGGCAGCCGAATTTAAACGTGATCGTACAAGTTTAGAAGATGATCTGCATAGTGGATGTCTGAAAACAGACTTCTGGGATGGCATTAAAGCATTGAAGCATCGCTGGATGAAATGCATTGAAGTTTAGGGAGACTGTATTGAAATATAAGTGATTTAAAAACAAAAAATATAGTCTTTCATCATCAGGCCGTGAACTTTTCAAATCGCCCTAATATATTTTCATCGAAGTATTATC